TGGGATTTTCTAGGAAGGCCTTCGGAGTTGGTTATACGACGCTTCGGCCTGTTAGCTTCGAGATGGAATTTTGATTCTTCAGTCCTGGACTGGATGCCCGAGGTGCCTCTACGCCGAGGTGGGTTTGGAGCCGAGGTGACTGGATGCCCGAACTGCGAATGTTGCGAACTGATCTTACTCGGCTGATTGTCATCCTTCAACCAGATCGCACTTACGTATCCCTTTCCTATTAGGTCGTGCCAAATCACCCTTTATTAGGTTTTTAGTCAGGATTCAAAGTTAGGGGATGAATAAAGGAGAAATCCTTCTCCGACGACATCCGGTTATAGTGCTTCACCAGAACTAACTCCAAATGACAATCTATATCCCCGGGGCACTAAGTGCGTATTTGCAATGTCAAATGAGGAGAATAGTGGGAGCTTTGTACACTGGTGATCCTATAGAGATTGAAACAGACGTACACCAGCAATGCTCCAATAGTCCTTGCCACCCAAAAGGCCAAAATCATCTTTGAAGAGCATCTAAGAGCGCAAGACAGCAAAGAGTGAGGTTGAGAAATGGCGGAAGATATGACTTTCCATGGTTGTCCGGTGGACTGGTTAAGTTTCTATTCCACTCCATTATGGTGAAGAGTCAATATTCTTTTCTGTGCACCACTACTATGTTTGCTATTGTATTTGCATACACCGATTAAGTTGCTGGTTTTCTCTCGGTCGACCGGCAAGGACTGTAACCTCTCGGTTAGGAAGGATTGGGTTTTAACAAGGTTGGAGTTTTACCTCCATGGTGTTTGATCCAAACGGTGGCGAAACCTCTCCATTTAATTCACATCGATTTATCAAACATAAAGAGTGTTAAATGGACCAACATCTAGTTCCCATTTTACACTCTCATGAACCCATCAGCCATTCAGTGAATTGTCACTGAATCCTTCACCATGTTTTGGTGGTAGGTACTAGTACATCGAAACCTTAGAGAGCCGCTGCAACCCAGACAAAAACCGTTAGCACGCGCTAGCGCGCTGCCGTTGCTCTATGTTATAATCGTTGGTGTAAATTTGGATTTACATTCCAAACAAGCGTAACCTAAAGAAATCATGTAAAAAGCCTCCAAATCATAATATTAATGAAGTAATAAAATACTATTAAATTAATAATAACATATATTAATAATAAATTATTAACAAAGTATTAGTAAAATAGTAATAAAACAACAGTACTATAATAAAATACTAATAAGCTAATGTTAACAAAAAAAAAGATATGAATTATAATAATAAATTATAAACAAAATATTAATACAGTATTATTAAATTTATAATAAAACATTAATAATTAAATAATAAATTATTAGTAAAATATTCATAAAATAATAATACTTTAAAAAAATTAATAAATTAATAATAAAAAGCAAAGATATTTTATTAAATAATAATAATATAATATATTTTTAATAAAATATCATAATATAAATATTATTAAAGTAATAATGATATAATTATATATTAATAAATAATTCATAAATTAGTGATAAATGCTAAGATATTAATTAGTAAATAATAATAAAATAATAATAATAATAAAGTACTAATAAAATAGTAATTATATATTCAGTTGAAATATTAGTAAAAGTAATAATACACTAATACAAATTGAAAATTTTCAGTTGATTCCAATTCCAACTCCCAATAAACCAAACAATAACAATCATTCCAATTCTTGATTGAACCAAGCAGGCATCAAGAATGGGTGATTCTGATTCCGATTTTGGGAATTTTGATTTTGATTCCGACTCCAATCTTATCCACTAACCAAACAGACCCTTACTTCTACCTATTTTTTGTGAAAATCTTATACTCCACTCTCTTTAATTTTTTTTTATAAAATAATAAAACAAATCTTTCCATTTAAAAGGGGTGATATAAATTGAAATATTTTAACCCAAAAAATTACTTTAAATTCTTCCAAATACATTGCAGCAAATAACAACAACAACAATAATAATAACATTACCTAAAAACTAATAGCCAATCAACTATTAATGTCATCCAATTTCACTTTGCTTTAAAGTTTTTCAGGTACCATGCCTTTCGAAACTAAAGAAATTGCGTCTAAAGACAATTAAGCCCCAAGTTATGATGATAAAATTTGATATAAGGTGTTTGTACATACGATGTACAACCTTACATTAAGAGAAAAAAAGCCTATTATTAAGTCAATTAAGTTAATGAAACAATTAAATCAAGTAATTGCATAATTATATTAAATAAGATAATTAAGTTATTTAAGTGGATCAATTAATTAAACGTCTGTTTGGCTTCATTGTCGTTGCTCCAGAAAACAGCACCACATCAGCGTCATGTTGGAAAAAAAACGGTGCTCCAGGAAACGGGTGTTTGTTTGGAACTGTTTTTTCTTAAAAAAACGGTACTCCAAACCACGTCTTAGAAATTGGGAAGGCATAGCTTGGAGCAACACCGAATTTGGCGTTTCCTGGAGCTGCAACTCGTTGCTACAAACATGGACGTGAGGTGGCAATGACATGGCACTGGATAACGGGTACCAGTGCTGAAAACATTTCCTGGAGCATTGGAACCAAACAGAAAACATTGTTGTTACTCTAAGAAACGTCCTACCTCACAGCAACGTTTCCAAAAAAAAAACACTGTTTTCTCAAAAAACAGTGCTGCATCTGCAGCACCGATGCCAAACATATAATAAGCTAATTACATCAGTTAGATAATTTTTTTTTTAAGTTAATGAAATAATTTGGTATTCCTTATTTTAAAACTTATCTCCTTTTTAAAGTTAAAATGCCAGAACACTGAGTTTTTAACGGTCAAAAGAGATAAACCTTTAAAATAAGGAATGCCATATGCAACCTAAGTAAATCAAGGAATTAAGCTAAATAAAATAAGATAATTAAATAAATGAATGGGCAATTAGGCACCCCTTTAGTCCAAGAGGCGAGGATACTTCAATTACGTAACTTAACTAAATTACATTGGTTAATTACGTGGGCTAGACCACCAAGGAGGAAGATTGACTTCAAAAACATTAATTGTCACTCTTGCTCCTTCAAAGCTAGCACGTGAGCTATACTCTTGGATCTCAGGCCAACAAAATTAAATTGTGCCGAATTAATGTTTACTTGTTTACAGCACAGATACCCACCGTTAGTGCTGTCATCAGATCGGATTCCAATCAGATTCAGCAAAATCCGAATTTAATTATTAAAATTTTGCATCTAAATTCGATCCAAAATCTGATTAGATTTAAATACCACAGATTTAAATTCGAATATTAGGATTTGGATTTAATCTGATTTTGATTTAACTTTTTAAAATATAAAATAATAAGAATTAATTACTTTTCAATTTTTTATATAATAAATTAATGTAAATATAATATATTAGATTTATTATATTTATAAATTCATATATAATATAATATATAAAATATACATTTTATATAATTTTAAATATAATTATATAAATTTATATATTAAAATTAATAGATATTATAATCTAACGTAAATACATCATTCGACTATAAGATGATCAGATAGGATTATCAGATCAGGCCACGGATTTTCGGGTATCATTGACAGGTTTACCCACTAAGCCCCACAATGCATAAAATGGGTGAATAAATTTCAATTAATGGGTCCGGTTATAAGTTGAAACCAACCTGATATAACTTTCTCCTTAACCCAAATTACAATTGCAACAACAGCGATATTGGGCCAATAAGACCCCATCCTTTGAGAAAAGAGCTATGTTGATAAGGGCAAGCCTCCTAGAATCCCATTTCAACGTAAAACCAGCAGAATGAGCACAAAATATCAAAATAAATTTAGAAATTTCTGAATGTTTTTTGGGCTAGAGGGTGAAAAACTATAGGAATTTTTTATCATACTTCGAAGTAGGGTTGTTAATGGACTAGTTTTGGATTGAAGCCCATCTAAACTAAAATCAATTTAGACAGATTGGACAGACCAACAAGACATTGAATTGGACCAGTCTAGACTTAATGTTCCAAATTATTTATTGGATTGGATTGGACCTGGTCCATCCGTAATGAATTTATATTAGATTGGGTTGGATTGAGCCAATATATGGTGCATTGATAGAAGATAAGAATTTAGGTGTCAATGGACCAGATTTGAGTTAGAACCAATCTAAATTAAAACAAGTTTGAACAGATTAAATGGTCCAGACATTGAATTGGACTGGTCCAAAATGGTCCAAAATATTCATTGGATTAGATTGGACCTAGTCTATTTGTAATGAACTAACATTAGACCGGATCGGATTGGACCAAAGGGTGAGGTGTCATTTGAGTTTTTTATATGCATTAAGCCCAATAAATTCATAGAATAACTCATTAAGCCCAATAAATCATAGAATGACTCAGACTGTGCTTGAAACTGCACTAACTGCCTATTAAATGGTTTGCTTTGGTTTATCAAACCATGCCCACTAGTTACAACTTTGATGATACTGGTCAATTTAAGCTTTTAAGGAGTTCGCATCAGCGCCCCACAATGCCCCACAGCACATCCCAACCGTGTATTAGGAGCATCTCCCAATGATAAATACGCAAGAAATGTTTGTTGTTGCAGCATTTCCTCCAAAACATCACTGTCTATTTGCTTGGTACTTAGGTGAAGTTGAAACAAGAATGCAACACCATAGTTCCATCTTGCGCACAGCCAATATTGTCAATTCCTTGAAAACCGAAATAACACCAATTTTGACATAATTAAACCAGTTTCAATACAGACGCCTGGAGATCACCCTCTCAATAGGCAATTCAGTGCTAGTTTTTGTATAGTCTCTCTCCATTTGGAAGGAGTACAAATACAAATACGTAGAGCGCAAAACCTTATATTTTGTATGTATTTGTACTGTACATACTTGTTCTTATACTCCTTCCAAACTGAGCCGTAAGGGGAAAAATCAACAGAAAGGCATACAACACAGCCAAAGACTGATAACATGATAGCAAATAAAACTCTGCATTCATCATCATAGTTTAGGAAGTTACAATTCCCATCCTGATTGGAGTTTGACCTTTCCAAAGGTGACAAAACCGAATTAGTCTCTCTTGAGAGAGCAACCATAACATGAACACTGGCAAGGAAGAAAAAGGTAAGGAACAGGAAACTGTTGAGGGTGGGAGGTGTTATTTTGCCCTTACATCAGGAAAAGAAATCAGACAGGCCTTTCCTCTGGCATATAAAATAGATGGAAAGAAAAGTAGACTGTGACAAGAATTACAGCAAGCCAACATCTCTCTATCTATAAAACGCTCTACTAGTTAGGCCTTCATTTTCTTTTCTTCGAATATAGTCGTAGGGGAACATTGGGTAGGGAACCTGAGGCTTCCTCGCTTACCAAGTTACTTTTGCTTAATTAGACTGTATAATGCTGTTGAATCGTATCAATGTCCAGCCCTTTGAGCTTCACCACCGACTCAACATGTCCTTTGAGTGTATGCAGCTCCCGAAGCCTAGAAACACCAAGAATTGATAGTATGAGAAAGTGTCATCCTTTCTTTCTCTAGAAATAAAAAGAATAAAAGGGGGAAAAAGAGGATTTGGAATTTGGAAGACATGATCTCAATTGTTGAATGCTAACATGATTTAACTGGTAATTAATCAAAATATACCATTAATCTTTTGTAAATCTCAGTGTTGTCAGATTCAGACCAGACCAGATGGTCAGATCATCAAAACCAGGAACAAGCAGCAAAAATGGCTTCCAGGCTACTACATTCTTAGAAATGCTGACATAGTCAATCCTATTTCAAATACATGTCTTAACATCTGTTAAGATTTAAAATTTATTGTTTTAAGATTTGTCTTGATAAATTGATTATTTTAAGACTATTTTGATATAAAATTGTTTTCTGTCCTGTCTGTATCAGAAAATATTAGCTTGAGATTTAGGATTTGTACTTTAGCACAAAGCCACAAAAGTTTTTGTGCTTTAGGACTTAAAAGTGTCTTGGCCTTAGATTGGCCGGATTACCAACAGAAGCTTTTTGAACTGATCTCTTCAAAATATCAATTTCCAAAAATGAAACAAGGATGCTAGTCATCATATCATGAGAATCAACAGGATTCCATACCTTGCAACCTCAGCTCGTCTCTTGGCCTGCTCAGCAATCTCAGAGAGTTCCCTGTAGCTGCTCTTGTCATTGAAGAGGTTACTGGTTTCTGGAGGTTGAAGACCATGTAGAGTCCTCTGTGCAAGGGCCCATTGGGCTTCTCTTTCCTCTTTTCCATAGTCTTTCTTGGTAGTGAAGGCAGTCTGTTTTCAGAAAGAAAGCAGCTCATCAATTGGATTACAAAAACCTTTGTTTTCAAAATCATATATTAACTGATTAACTAACAATTGCCAAACAATGAAGATTGTACAGAAATATACCTTGTTTTCAAGCAGGTTATCCCAAGCTTTTCCACTGAGGACATAGCGGATAAAGAATTTGATGATATCAAGTGGGACATAGGAGACAATAGTGTAAAGCCAGATTACTCCAGCCCAACCCCAACCAATTCCCTTTATCCTTGAGAAACCCCAGTTGGCATAGACTGCAATCAGAGTTGCCACCTGACAATAGCCAACTAATTAACAACAGGGTGGAGCAAATAATCTTTTTCTTTTCTTTTCTTACTTTCCTTCTATTTGGTGTAAAATGAAACTCAAAATCCACACATCAAAAAATAAGCATTGAACCCATTCAAAGGTGAAACAAATCAGAGAGATGAGTAGCAAAACAACCAACTTCAAGATAATTTAATGGTTGGAGTTGGACTGAACAAATGAACCACTTTAGTCCATTGAATGAGCAACATGTGGCAAATTATAGGGTTCCAGAATACGACTTCGCTGAAAGTCAAACTTAACCTAACATTTTGTCCTTTTATTGGGTATCCTTGTGAAGGAATTAGAAAATAATATTAATAAAAAAGTACAGTTTTATAGTTATGGGGTTGGATTCAGCCAACTTAGTCCATGAACCAATTAAGAAATCAACAAAGCTTAACCCACCATGGGTGCTCTATTGCATGTAGGGTAGTGGGGAGGGATAAATTTATTGGTCTGTGGAGAAAAAGAAAGACAAAATAAAGAACACACATTCTTACCAGTTGAGCAATTATGAAGGCACTCACTAGGAGCAGTCCAGGACGTTCAGCAAATGACCAGCTGCGTGACCGAGTGACAAAAATAAGGGCCTGGCTAATGATACTCACTTGCAAGTATAATGCAGCCATCTGCTCATGAGGACTATTCCTCAATGATCTTACATTGAATTTGTCCTGTATGATAACCATAACAAAATTAAAATCTAAACTGTCTTCAAAAAAGAAAAGTTTAGTTATAATATTTGCTCCTAAGGAAACAACAATAAACTTCTTACCGAGAAAAAGTCAGTATCATGCATAGCCCAGAAGAATACCACTGTCATCAATGCCAAGTAACCTCCAAGCACAATACCAGTTGCAAAAATTTCTTTCAGTTTCCAGCTATCAGGTTGTGGAGATGGCTTCACTCTATCTTTTGAGATTGTCATGATAGTTCCTGAAGATACAATAACAACAAAAATGAGAAATAATCATGATAATGAATCACAGTGTAATGACCAAAGGAAGATTGCTAGATGAGCCTCACCATCATTTAGAATGGCAATGATAAGAACCATGAAAGGGGCAAAATCAAACTTCCATATCAAAGCAATAAGCATAAACCCGAACTACAAAATGAGAGTAGCGAGAAATGAGTTAGAACAATCATGTGTCAGTATGAAATACGAATGCCTTTTTATTTTAATCCTAAGCATGAATGACTTTTTTCTTTAAGCCTACTTACCACAATACGAATTGTGATTGAAACTGCATATATCTGCAAAAGTGGAAAAGGGGAACCAAATTTGGTTATTGTTAGCAAACTAAAGTTTGGTGATCTCAAGGAAAAGGGGGAAGGGGGAAGGAGGGATGACAAGGACTAACAGTGTAATTCTTCATTCTTTGGAAAATAGCTCTGCTGGTGAGCACAGCACTGATTATAACACTCAGCCCAGGTTCTGTGAGAACTATATCAGAAGCACCTCTAGCAGCATCAGTAGCATCAGCAACAGCAATTCCAATGTCAGCCTTCTTCAGTGCAGGAGCATCATTCACTCCATCTCCAGTCATTCCACAAATATGTTTCTTCTCCTGTAACTTCCTTACAATTTCATATTTATGCTCTGCAACAGAAAAAAAAAATGACAGTTTTAGATGATGAAAACAAAAGAATGAAAATGCATTCTTTCATAATCAGGATTAGATAAGGGATTAACCTGGAAATACTCCTGCAAATCCATCAGCCTTCTCAATCAACTCATCTACAGGAAGCTCTGCAATAGAGGCATCTTTGTTTTGGCCAAGCAATGAAGAGGAAGGATACATGTTTGTTCCCATTCCAAGCCTCCGTCCAGTCTCCTTAGCAATGGCAAGCTGATCCCCTGAAGCATTCGAAGAAAAATAAAAAACAACATAATTGATTACATAAAGAACATAGTTACTAGAAAATGAAGACCAAGCTTACCAGTAATCATCTTCACATTGACACCAAGGTTGAGAGCCCTACGGATGGTTTCTGCACTGTCATGCCTAGGGGGATCGAAGAGAGGTAAGAGACCAACAAATTGCCATGGGGCCCCTGGGCTTTCCTTTGTCCTCTCAGGCACTTCCTGCAAACAATTCATAAACCCAATAAAATATCAGCAATATATTCAGTTTGAAAGGAAAAAAAATGCACAGCAGGCAACTTACAAACCTGTCTTGCAACAGCCAATGACCGCAAACCACGTTCAGCAAATTTATCTATTACCATATGAACCTTCTTTCTAACATCCTCCTTGCAGTTGCAAAGGGTCACAATCTGTTCCTCAGAATATTGAAACAGAAGAATCAGAGGTGATCTTACTTTTTTTATTACTTTGTCACTTGAAAAAAGGGAGAAAATTAATAACAAACTCACCTGCTCAGGAGCACCTTTACTAGCACGATGCCAGTTGCCATCAGCATCAATATAGGTCAAGGCAGTCCTCTTGTCCACTGGATTGAATGGGAAAAAGTGGATCTCTCTAATACCAGCTCGTGCCTGCACAATATGTACCAAATAAGAGTTTGTCGTTGATGAAGTCTTAAACCCGCAACAGAGAAAATGTAAATGTCAACAACATAAAGTAAATTAGAAGATATCTAGTATGATACGAGGCACACCTCCTTCGGGTCAGCAAGCATGCCAACGATCGCAGCATCAATGGCATCCTGATTTTCAGTTCTCGATGCCCTTGCAGCAAGCAGGATCACATGCTCTTTATCCACTCCCTTGGCAAATACCTCAATAAGACTTCTGTCAACGCTTAACTTGTTTAGGGTCAATGTCCCCGTCTTGTCACTACAGAGCACATCCATACCTGCCATCTCTTCAATGGCAGTCATTCTCTTGGTAATAGCACCCTGCTGAGAGAGTCTGTGAGATCCAATAGCCATGGTCACGGACAAAACAGTGGGCATAGCAATGGGAATGCCTCCGATCAAAAGAACCAGCAGATTGTCAATTCCGTCCCTGTACTTGCGGTGCTGAATTGGGTACATCACGATGATTTCGATTATCATTCCAATAGCTATGGAGCAAATACAGAAATTACCAATTGCTGTGAGCACCTTCTGGAAGTGCCCAACTTGATTTGTGCTGTCCACCAGATGTGCTGCCTTTCCAAAGAATGTGTGGACACCTGTTGCAATGACGACAGCCTCTATCTCACCCTGTTTGCAAGTGGAACCAGAGAACACCTCGTCGGAGGGGTTTTTTGTTACAGGGAGGGACTCTCCAGTCAGAGCAGATTGGTCGACCTTCAAAGGATCACCCTCTAGAAGACGAGCATCGGCAGGAATGATATCTCCTAACTTGATGCTGATGATGTCTCCTGGGACAAGAATTGAAGCGTCCTGCTCACTCCATCGACCATCTCTAAGAACCTACAAAACATTTCATCAAACAAAATAAATTAAAACTAAAACCTAATAAAATAAATCCATCTGAACATTCTATGTACTGGCCATGATTTTACCTTAGTTTTTGGAGCAAGACCAGCCATCAGAGCTGCTGCGGCATTACCAGCATTATTTTCTTCTATGAAACTGATAGTGGAGTTGATCACCAGCAAACAAACGATACCAACGAAGTCCTGCCAATCTGGGGGTTTCCCTCCACCGTTTGCTAACGCAATAGCCATCAAAGCCGCGGCCTCCATGACCCATGATAAGGGGTTCCACATAAAGCCCAAAAATTTGAGAAGTTTGCTTTCCTATTTTATGAAACATCAGGCCATTAAATCGACGTCGTAATTTTGTGAAAACAAAAATGGGACGGAAAAAAAAACAATCGAAAAAGTTTTACTTGTAACAGAACTGACCTTTTTCTCTTCGAGTTTGTTGGGCCCGAAGATTTGAAGCCTGTTGGCCCCTTCCTCCGAGGTTAAACCTTCCTTGGTACATTTCAATTGCTCGAAAACTTCCTCAATTGGAATTCGTTCCTGTATACACACAATCGGAGCTCAGAATTCGTTACCCTTGCAATTGATTAATCACCCTTTAATTGTTAAGCCATTTATATGTACAAATGAGCAATTACTAGAATTCTCCCCTCGCTTCAATCCATGAAAAAAAGAAGAGTTTCCATCGTCAGGGTGAACATACTGGTTAGAAAAAATAAAAAAAAATAAATAAAAAAGAGACTTTTCCATTGAAGAGGAGTTTCGAAAAAAAAATAAAAAGATAAAAAAAGGAGGATTTTCTATTGATAGATTGAAGTCACTGGCCTCACTGGACACAAAGATTTTACACTCGAGCTATCAAAAAATAAAAATAAAAATAAAAAAAGATTTTACACACTTGGCAAAGGAAAGTATGAAAAAAATATAGAAAAAGGAAATATTCAAGTTGACAAAAAGACGTTCCAGAAAAAGACAAATATAAATGTCTCACCACAAAATAAAAAGAGAAAAACCAAAAAAATCATGGGTGATTTCGTCAATTACATACGAAACCAGATGCTTTTGGGATTTCTCCATTATCTTTTTTTTATGAGTTTTATTTTATTTTTATTTATTTTTTTATGAGTTCACGTGGCTTGTTATGCACCGGGATGGCGTTTCCTCCGAAGCCTTTTTATATGATTTTGTTTTTTTCTTTTTTTTTTTTGGGTTTAGATCTTGAAAGGCCGCGAAGGTTTCTCCGGTCAATATGGCCTATGCAGATTTTTGATAATATAATAATATTTCTTTTTCGTATGACAGAAAAAAGAGAGGTTTAAGAAATTGAGACGATAATAACGACAAATCGCCGATAAATTATTTTTGCCGATACGTCGAAAGGAAAACCAGAGATAGAGGTTAACAGTTAAAGTACCACGGAAGTACCCTTTCGCACCCAAATCCCAAAAAGGCAAAACCAGCATGTAAAGAAGAGATACAGGAATTTCTCTCAGAAACACCGTTGCACGAGTAAGGACGAATTCGCAAAAACATAGTTATAGAGGAATCAGAATGTAAATGTGAAAAATCGACAATTATATTGTAGAAAAAAGTAAGAAATACTTATTTGAGAAGGCATTTTTTCTCTTTCTTATCCCACTGAGAAAGTAAACTTGTTTCTACAAAGAGAGAGAGAGAGTAAAATCGCGGTCATTTCGGAAAATAGCCTGAGCTTAAAGGGAATTAACAAAAAATCTCGCAGCCATAGGTTGAATCAAATACGATTCCATATTCGGAAGAAAAATCCCATTCTTTTTTTTTTTTTTGCTGAGAAGGAAAAATTCCATGAAGTGCTGAAACATTCTCTCAACTGTATTTGAAATTTGAAACATATGAGAACAACGACTTCGAGCATGAGAAATAAAATCTAGATGTCTGTTCGATCCAAAGAAAAATGGATATGAAAATCGAAGAGAAAAAACAGAAGAAAGGAAAGGATTTCTCGGATTCCGACGTCCACTTGGCCGGGGACCAAAAGAAAAAGAGTAGAATAAGAAAATATGCGGGCGTGAGGAAGATATAAAAAAGAGTAAAGTAGTTCCCAAAAGATGCTTTTGAGAACAAGTTGAAGAAAAGATGCTGAATCGGACGAATCTTCCTTCTAACAAACATCAGATCGCAGATCAAACACAACAACAGAAAACATATAACTCAAAGAAGATTTATACACAGACCCAAAACTAGACTTCTACTGCAACTCTGCAAAAGCAATCCAGCATTAATCCTGAATAATCAAGAAAGAAGCAAATCAACTCTAAGCCTCTACAGATCTCGTTTCAACTTATCAATCCACCAAAACCGCTTCATATAACTCAAAGAAGAAAAAAAAAAGGAAGATTTAAACCAGAATCAACCACACTACCGTTTCAACCAAAATAAAATAAAAATCCAACCCTACTGCAACTCTCATTCAACTATCACAAAAAAAATAGTGAAAAAATCCGGCCAGAAAAAAAAAAGGAGAACAAGACAGAGACGAAGAAACAAGGTGAAGAGATCGGTTACCAGATCAACAGACTCATTCTTAATCTCCTCCAGACTGATCGCCTTATCGCCTCCCATCTTCACCACAACCAAAACCACTCTCCAAACCAAACAAACTGCCTATAGAAGCCCTAAACTATCACCAAGACAAATCATTAAAATCGCAGTCGCTAAGCTCGAACAGAAACAGAAACCTCGGAAATCTTCGCCGTGACCGGACTCTCAACCTCTCTTGCAAGCACAGAAGGCGAGGCTTCTTTGTTCCACCTCTCTAACCTTCCATTTATATTCAAAGGTTCCCAATGGGTCCCGCCACTCCAGAGTTTCCAGCTCTCGCATACGTCTAATTCTATTCGGACTTCTCTTTCTTACCGGTGACGTGTCGGTTACCGGTTTGTTATTTGCCTTGAACTTCGAACCTTCGCTTCTCCCAGTCCGTCCCAACTCCCAACTGCGGTGCACATGGGTCCCACAGCTCTATCCTTTTAGTCAACGTTCCATTCACTTATTTACGAGCTGCTATGTGCTCACTCTCTCCTTTTCACTCGGGGAGTTATTAAATACTAATCAAACTTTAAATAAAAAGCAAAACTATAATCCTCAACCGTTGAATCCCCCGTTCATCCAATCGAACGGATACAAATCTTTTCAGTAATTAAACATTAAAAACGAAATAATGGAGGTGATATTCAGTATTATCGGGATTGACTTTGTTATGTGTGGCCCCCAGTTGGAAAGTCTTCTGTTTTCACACAGCAGAGCCAGTCTACTTTTAACCGTTGGATTTCATCAGAATTTTGTTCGATAGTTAACAGCCAAAATTAACCCTAATTTTCCGGTTTTATTTCCTTTTTTTAGCGCAGACATCGCCAGTACAAGAGAAAGAAAATGGATGGCTAAAATCTATGCTAACCAGTGGGCTCCACCATTAAAATGAAAAGATGCGGTCAGATGACTCAGATCAAAGAAAAACAGCCTTCCCATTACATGAAAGGTGTAATGGAGAAGGAAAGATTCTCTGCTCCGGATAACAATAAACCATTTATTCGGTCAAATTGATCATTGTCATATACTCAAACGCTAAGTGAGCCCCCACATCCACCATACAAAGTGTGGCCCCAGTGAATGGGCGCCTTTCTGCCGTTGGATCGATCTGTAAATGGGTCCCAGCGGGACGTGAAGAACCGATCGTTCATGTGAAGGCATTGAATCAAATAATACAAAAAACAGTATTTGATACGTGAGTTAAAGGTAGAAACCACCTATACAAAGACAGATTGGATGGCTGGCGAGGAGCCACGGGGGGTTGAATTGGACGGTTGAAAAGCAGGAATCAACAACCCCCACTAAAGAGTAAAGAGACTCCCCGCTGTCTCTCTCTCTCTAGAAACTAAAAATAATTGAGCCACTTTCTCTCTCTAGAATTTTTCTAATTTTCAAAGGGAAATAATTCCCAACCATTTCCACTATAATAATAGAAGAAAGTCTACTCTACAACGGGGAAAATTCAAAATAATGCCCACACTCATGATTCACCTACTGCATGAAGCATTATTTCCAGCATACGCCCTTAAAATATTCCAATCTGACGTGTGAAAGCTTCATGCAAGCAAGCTTGGATCAGGTGTTACTTCCTTGTATAAACCCTACTCACGATACAGTTTTGGATTTTACCAAGGAAGTAATATATACATCTGCAATCATGCAAGTCAAATACTTTTCAATCATTTGCGTGCTTTGATGCCTTCAATCATGTCAGTAATTTTTATGATGGGTCGTAGCTGTACAGTGACCATCCGGTGAATCGAACGGTGGGGCTTTTTTAAAATATTAAATTGAGGGGGTATTGTATTATAGTAGAGTAAACAACTGTCCAACCAACGATCAGGTGTGGCCAACCAACAGGTGTGGCCCACACATGTGCACAAGTGATTAAGTGAAGCACTGGAACTTCGACTGTGCAAGTGTGCAGTGTGAACTGTGAAGCGCCGGTGGTGGGGCCCGCCAACTGAACGGATTGGTCAAACGTAAGCCAGCGGGTATTTTGTTAAATCGAAGGAGATTTTTGACAATCCAAGGAAACGTACAACTTGGGAAGCCAAGTTTGACATGCAATGTAACGCCGGTTTGAGACCAGAATGCAGAATGCCCCCTTCGACTCTGCTTTGGTAGTTGGTATTTCGTGTAAAAGTTAAACCTTCAGCTGATTATCAAAATATCTCCGTGAACTCATCACTTTTATACCAAAAGTGAAAGAAAGAAAAAAAACGCTAATCGGGTCATGTAGAGAGGTCATGCGGCCGGAATCTTGGCCCAATCCATACCGTCCATCGGTTCGGCGATCCGGTGGGTTAATAATCAGTCGGCAGAAGTTTTATTTAAATGGTTCGGTGTGTAAAACTTGGGGTTACAAACCGTATCCGTTTTGTCTGAATTTGAATTGCATTCTGATGTTTTAAGGGAATCTGGATTTGTTCATCATTGAGCGCACCTCACACCGACTTCACAGCTCTATTCCACCGTGAATTGTAATCAGATTGGTGTGAGAAGCATTTTATCATAGCAGATCTTGACTCCTTTTAAGGGTGATACGAATTTCCATCTGTTTACATTTGGATTGACCATGGACTCAATATTTTAGTGGGTCCAGTTGAAACAGAGAATTCACAAGTTTTCTCTCCATGTCCGGGGTCTCTTTTTGTGTACAATTTAGGGGGATGTTAGAAAATATGATTTTGTTTTTAAAAACAAAAGCAACTGTTATATGATTAAAATTATATTGTTTTTGCTGATATGGTAAAAATAAAGACACCATATCATCGAACATCCCCTTGGTCTTCTATGTCAATAAATTTATTATAGGATGTATTTGGAATATTAGGGATGGCAATTTGTCTCATTTCTTGACCCCTGTAGGGACCCACCCCAAATGGGGTGGGGATGGAGATGATTTTCCCTTTACAGGACAGGGAATGGAGAAATTTTCGTCCCCATTGGTGAGGATGGGGATAGCACTCCCTACCCTACGAGGGACCTTGATCCCTGCCCTGTGGGGATCCTCGCTAATATATATGCATATATGTACACATACGTCTATATATGTATGAATGTATGTTGTGTATTAATATTTCTTAAAATATATTGAATATATTTAAATCTTTTTTAATAGGACTATGAATTTTAATTATTTTATTTTAAATTTTTTAAATAAAATAAAAATAAAAATAAAAACAAAAACAAAATGGTTGGCATTATATAAAATCATGGGGAATGGGGATCCCCGTGGGGATGGGGAGTGGCTCCCCACCCCATTCCATTCCTACTGAACATTTGTGAACAAATGAAATTTGCAAATTTTGAGGGGTGCCAGCTAGCGTATTTTGGTAAAGTCTTGTAAGGATGCAAATGGATTGGATCGGATTCAAATTAGGGTTATCCGATACACTGTAGATCCTATCCAATCTGAAGATCCGATCGGATCTCATAAGTATTGATTCGAATTTGAATTTGATCAAAATGTTGGATATCTAAATTTCTATCTGATTTAATTTAAAAATTATTATTATTAAAATGAGAAGAAAATATAACAGTTTAATAAAGAAAAACAAAAATACAAGTGTTTTTTTCAACTATTTTCATCATATAGATACATGTTTTTATAAAAATAAATAATAAAAAATTTACAAAAATACAATATAAATAACATATTTATCCGATCTTATCCGATCAAAATCCAAAAATCCAAAATAGGGATATCTAAATCTGACAAAATAAGATCAGACTTTGGATCAGATCTCCGGCCCTAGGTAGTATAAAATTCAATTTTGATGCTTCTCATGGCAATAATGGTTTTTGTACTACTACTTGTATTGCCCATAATCATTTAGATCGTATTTTGGATGCCAAAGTTGTTAAAGTTCAATCTTGTACAATTAATCAAGCAGAAGCTTGGGCTGTTTAGGAAGCCCTTAAGATGGCTTGAAATTTCAAGCATTTCCTGAAGCTGGTCATATCGTATCTCAACCATAAGATGGAGCCCCTATAGAAGCTGAGAAGCACTATTGAGAGCTACACTAGGATGAGGAACTCCTTTACTAGAAGATTTGCATTTCACCAGGTTTACCGAAAGGCAAACCAAGCGATGGATTTGCTTGCTCACAAAGCCCAAATCTCTCCTTCGGACTATTTTGCTTTTAATTTTCTTCCCTCGCCCCTTTTCTTCTTATTTGTTTTGCTAATTTTTGGGATGCACTAACCCCCCATTGTTGTAGTGCATTTCTGGTGTATTTCAAAAAAAGTCTTGTAGTAGGGGCTTGGGATCGAGTTTTGCCTTCACCTAGGTTGGATGATCTAGGGGTTTGGGGTGAGTTTAGATTGACACCTCACATAACACGTCCCATCGCCGCCGTATATGCACATCTCAGCATGTATTGGAAACATCTCACATGCTTGTCATGGGGAGATGTTCCCAATACATGGCTAGGATGGGCTATGGGGTGTGGGGTGTGCTCTATGTGGTGCCCATGCAAATTCATTTGGGGGAAGGCTATCGTCTATTGTGTAGCCCATTAAAAACTAGAAAAGGAAAAAAGAAATACAAAACAAAAACAAAATTTTGTCACTTTAGATCGGTAAATTGGTCACTCAGCCACAATGAGTCATCCCAAGACCAAACTTGGTTAGTTTGATGTCATAAGGTAGTGTTTGGTAATTTCTTTTGTATATAGGCATATTTGGCCGATTCACCAAATGCTGACAGGTGGCACCACCCAAGGGTATTTCTGCCACTTCGCCTTCATCTAAGGGCAATAGCATAACTCCCACAAGCCACTACTGTGGGGCATTTAATGCGGACACCACATTCTCGGCATAACTACTCTCAACACACTTATGAAGGGATAGTGATTGGCCAACAACTCTCTAGTTGCCTAGCACAAAGTGGGCTAAAGAGTTCTCGGAATTTGATATCCTTTACCAGCCGAGACCTGCAATACCAGCCGAGACCTGCAATCAAGGCATAGGTGCTAACAGATTTCCTAGTCGAATACACCTTCAATCATAACAGTGCCCCAATACAGGAGGAACCTTGGCCCACTTGGACTTTGTATGTTGACTAATCCTCCAAGACTAGATGAAGCGAATATGGCCTCGTCCTATTAACTCCAGACAACAACAAGCTGGAGTATACGCTTTGGTTCAAATTTTCTACCTTAAACAATGAAGAGAATACAAGGCCTTGCTTGTCAGCCTCCCTTTAGCTAAAGACC